CTGGCGGGGGGCAAACAAAAGTAGGAAGCAAGAGTCATAAGATATTAAAACCAGAAGTCCAAGCGAAGAGCCAGTGGAAATTATTGTGCAAAACTCGGAGAAATGCTCAAATGCTGATTCAATGCAGTTGAGTGCTGGCCTTCATAGAATATTTATATAATTTTCGTAATTTTCATCATATTAATAATTAAGCATAAGCTAAACAATAATTGCTAACAATTGCCAGCAAGCCGTGCTCTTAACTGCATCGCATTGCTCATACGCCCTGTTGAGCTGTGAATAGCGCATAACTCCCACCTTGGCTTGTTTATTTTGCTGATTGTTTTTGGCAAACTCTTTTGTTACACTTTTGACTGCGGCTGGTGCTGCCACTGCTGCGGCTGCCACTGCTGATGGTGCTGCTGCTGCTGTTGCTGCAGTTGTTGCTCTGAAGGCCGGATTAACATGCCGGTACGTTGTCATCGCGGCAAATGGTTCAGGTGTCAAAATGGTGGGGTGAAAACTTGTGGCCGCTTTTACCACCGCACCACGTTTACTTTTTGTGTGCGTTTCATATGCAGGTTATTCATGTTATTCTTTAGCTATTTTAACTCGCTGCTGCTGATGTTGCTGTTGTTGTTGCTGTTGTTGGCTGGTGATGTTGCTGTTGCTTGAGTGCAGCGGGTGAAAGTTTTTGCGCATTTTTGCCACAGCGTTGAAATATGCTGCAAAGTTGCAAGGACGTCACGACAGCTTGCCTTAATAATGGCAAGCATGCAGCCAGGTGGGCCAAACAGGTGGACAGGTGGACAGGTGGCAGGTGCTGTGCAGCAGAGTAGCAGGCTAGCAGGGTAAACTATTACACAACACGCATTGTGCAAGGGAGCACAACAAGAGGCGTTAGGTTCTCTCTCGCTCTCGCTCTCCTTCTTTCTCTCAGTCTTCCACGCTCGCCCCAGAGAAATGCATAAAAAGCGCATTTTATTATTTCACTCGAAAGTTGTTTACGACGCCTTTTGCTCAGCTTCTTGTCCAACCTCTTATGCATTTTTAATACACTGTACGAAGAGTGAATGGAGTATATAACTTTGACATGGATACATTTCTCCAATTAGATAGTATAAATATTTCTATGCAGGCATGATATATAATATAAAATAAGCAACTCAGCAGATTCCATGCAAAATGGAAACAGTGTATTGAGCAGTCAGTTGGACTCTAGCATAAACTTCGTACTTGTTTTATATCTGACGTAGCCCAGCTACCCCGTCGCGCGCATTCATTATATTGTAATATGTTTTTAACATTATTTTTATTATAAATCAACAAAATGCACTCAACGCGACTTTCAGTTGACGTCGCAACTTTTGCTCAGCTGCCAAAAGGTTGCACGAAAGAGAGAGAGAGGGAGATAGCGAGAGAAAGTGGCAAAAAGATTGGACTGCGATTTATTTTATGGTATTTAAGTTATGACTGGCGCTGTAAAGGACTTAATGGTCGGCATGAATGTGGCAGTTGGGAGGAAAAAGAAAACTGAGAAAAGCAAACACATAAGAAACTTGAAAGTATTTCTAGAATTTACTTTTGCTAAACAATTATATTGTTATATATATATATATATATATACATTTTTATATATTTTTATAAATATTTACTTTTCAGTGTCAACTTACGGAAAACTGTTTTTCCACAGGGCGGCTACAAATAAAAATGAAGCGTTTTTCTTTTGATTTCCATTTGACTACAACTGTCAGACAGCTGCGTTTTGACTTGAGCAAAACATCTTGAGAGATGCAAATTTGTTTCAAGGATAAAAGTGAGAGGGTACAGGTTCTGCAGCTGCTTCTTCCTCTTCTTCTTCAGCTGGAGCGACAAGCATAAGAAAATGTCTCGGAAATTTGTCAAGTTGCGGCATCTGCATAATGATGAAAAATGCCGCATGACAGTCGAGTTTATTAATGCATACAGAAAATAAAAAAAAAAAGAAGGGAAAAGCAAGTGATATAAAAGCGAAAGTAAAAACTTGGCCATGGAAAGTGAAAGATCTTGTCTTTCATTAAAAAGTTAGTCTAGCAATCTACGTCCGAACTCTTTTAGGGCTGATTTGCCAGGGGAAATTCTTGAAGCGAGGATGTATTTCTACAATATAATCTCTACTCAATGCATAACACATATTTGTATCTCTGTCTTGATTAGTAAATTTGCCTGGTGGCAGTTGATGTTACCTGGCGCTGATTGATGTGCACATGTCGAGAGTCCCTTTTCAGTGAACTGTGTAAGCACATCTGTGCCATTTGACCCATGTGTGTGTGTGTGTATGTGTGTGCATAATACGTGCAACATCATAAAGCTGGAGTTTAGCTGCGGGCTTGAGTTGCTTTCGTGTCGGAGCAGCTCAGCTGGAAAAATTACCATTGGCCGTGTTCGGAGTGTAGTCAGTCAGGTTAAGCAATGAAAATGAAAATGAAAATTTCAGTACAAAAAAAGAAAAGAAACATAAATTGAAATCATCATCAGAGAGGAAGAGATAGAGAGAGAGAGAGAGAGAGAGGGAGCTGAGCTCTTTTGGCCTTTTAAATTTACGTGTTTCAAGTGGTTCGTGATCTGTGAGCCGTGAGCTGATTAATGCGGCTTGTCATATTATGCTGGGCTGATGCTGATGAATGCTGTAAGGCACTTACGGCTATAATATAACTGTATAATGTGCAGCTGTAATGGCTTGCTTTCATTGCAATTTCCTGGCTTATTGAGTGCAGCTCTTAGCTCTTAGTCTTGGCAAGTGGCAGCAGCAACAGCAGCAGCGCCCAGTTGCATTTGCATGCTGATCTCATTAGCACCAAGCAAGTTCATCTGGCCGGGGCCAATGCGCCACGTTACACGTCCGGGCAATTGCAGTACCTACGCGTATTGGGCGAGTCCGTTCTGCTGGGCAGTTGGGCCACTTGCTGCTTGCCACTTGGCTGCCTGCATCATTTGCATGCAAATGTCGTTTGGCACTTTTAGCCACCAACAAGTCCCTCGTGTGGCCACCCCGAACAAAAAACTGGCTCCACTCGTTCACTTTGTGCCGCTGCTTTTCAGCTTGTGCTTGTTCAGTTTGCGCTTTTGCACGCCTTTGTTGTGGTTTACTCCTGCACTTGGCTCTGACTTTTAGCCGCAGTAACGGGGCCTCATAAAGCAAGCCCAAAAGCGGCGACAGTTGCAACTGCCGTTGACACTTCATGGGGCCAATATGCCAGGCACGCAAATTGCCACAGCACGTCAGGCAGATAGAGGGAGCGAGAGAGAGAGAGATAGAATGAAAACTAGCTGCTTTCATGAAAAAGTTTTCTTGCTGGGCAAGTTTTTGTCATTTGTTGTTGTCATCTTCTTATTTTGCTTGTGTTGTGTGTTTTTATTTTCATTTTTTATCGGCTGACTGCTCGTTGCACTTGCAAATGTGCACTTTACCACTCATTAGTGACAGTTTAGCAAAAGTTGGTTGCTGTAAGTGCTTGCTCTTTAAGGGCAAAGCAAACTCTAAGCGGAGACCAGACCTCATACATATGCAAGCATTTTCTAATTGCATGAACAACGACTCGTTCGAGCTATTGCCTCAAACTTTTCGGGGCTATGCTCAACTTTGTAGTTTTGCTCCAAAAGTCTTCAAATCCGCTTACAAGCACGAATATTACACATACGCAGTGTGGTGTGTGCTCTCGTGCCTCACATGTGAACGAGGGCAGGGGGGTGACGGAGGGGCTAATAAATAACAGGCAAAAAGGTATTGAAGCATTGTGCAGCCATTAAAGCGATGCGCTTCGACGCGCTCGGCAAAAACGCAAAGTCTTCGCGCTCCGTTTGCTGCCAAGAACAATTAAGGATTTCAGCGAACACCCAAAAGCCATACAAAGTACGCTTTGAGACTCTACGAAATTTAAAAGAAAAATATATATATAGAGAAAGAGAGACAGTCAACAGAAGCAACAACGCCTTAAGGCCAAAAAGTCAACTTGTTTAAGAAAAAAAAACAAAAAATAATAATAAAAAAATAAATAAAAAATAAGACAACAGCGTTAAACCTCCAGCAAAATAAACAAAAATGTAATTTGCGCCACTTAGCAGCAAATGGACAGTGCCATTAATAATTCCATTTCAGTTTTTTTCCTGCCTTGCTCTTTGCTATTAGGATGGAGCCGCGCAGATAATAAGGAAATATGAGTTTGCGGCCAGGACCTTGGCCATTGCCTTGCTTTAAACCTGAGCAAAGACCAAAAAAAAAAAAAAAAAAAGAAAGGAATTAAATAATGGCAAGAGCAAAATATTAAAAGGAAACACGAGAAATCATAAAGCCTAATATGTTTTAAGGTCAGCAATTAGAGACTTGTTTGTCTTTAAATTAAATATTTAATATTGCTTAACTAGAAAAATGTTTGAAAAGGAAATGGAATAGATAGACCTTAGACTCTAATTAAAGACTATTTTTGGTTTGTTTGGTAAATGTTTATACATTTTTAGCTGTCATAACTTTAACAAAAGCTATTTAACTTTTAAGTAAAGCAAAGTTTTCGAGGACCTTTTGTGAGAGAGATAGAGATTCAATTAAAGTGACAAACTGTCAAAATTTTTGTGACATGGGCGCATTGCAAAACCGAATGAATACCCAAAGGACAAAACACAGAAGCACACACACACACACACACACACACACACACACACACAGAGAGATTACAATGGACAGCATTTTCCAGTGAACAGATATTCATACGCATTCACATGGGCATTCACATGCATATTTATGGGTAAATGCAAATGTCTGTGGCCGTGGGTCTGGCCCTTTGAATTATGAAAGCTAATTGATGAAAATTGAATAATAATTGTGTCAAGCTGACAAGAAAAGTGAAATTCCAATGGCTGATTTACGGCGACCAACACAATTCGGGCCATTCCACGCAATATCTGCGACATTTATTCATAATTGAGCAGTTGGCGGAAGTTCTTATAAGAGCGCTGGCACAGCCATCAAAGCGCCATTTGGAGACATGGCTGGCTGCCCAATCGTTTTGCTATTACTCAGTCTCGTGGCTGGCGTACGGCTGGCTGAGTTTGAGCCGGCGGAGAGGACGGCGCGACTGCAGAGCCGGCTGATGTTGGAGTTTGTGGTGGGGCACAAACAAATACCGAGGTTCACTTACTTCACCTGCCGCAATCCCGCCAGCAATGACACGGGCAATGTGCACGCCACTCGCGCCAACCTGAAGCAACTTTACGCGGCATTCGAGGCCAAGAATGCGCAGCTGATTGGTAGCCTCTATCGGGACAACGTGCCGCGCAGGCCCTTTGTGCGGATTGTGATGCTGGATGTGCTGCATCAGCCAAGGGGGAAGTCAGGCGGCAGGGGTATACCGCGCGGCAGACCGGCAGGTGCGGGCGGAGGAGGTGGAGGAGGAGGCAGAGCGGGCACAGCTCTCGGCACAGCTTCAAGCAGTGCCGATTGGTTGGACAGCGTGTTGAGGGTGGAGGCGCTGCGGCAAGTTGTGGCCGTGGATTTGGCATGTGGCATGCTAAGTCGTCGTTTCCTGGAGCTGGTAAGTGGCACGGACAGGCGGTAGCATGTCCTTATGCATATTGAGTGCTCAGCTGCAACTATTTGCAAGGCTTCAGCCAAGATGCTCTACAACGATAAATATCACTGGCTATTGATTGAGGATTATGCGCTGCACGTAAGTGCGGGCGTGATGCGGCCCCAACAGCTGCAGCAGCTGCATCTGATGGATACGAGCACAGACACGGATACGGATGAGCTAGAGCCCATTGAAAGCTTAATGGAGACCCTGAACTTCTACATGAACACGGAGCTAACTCTGGCTAAGCGAACGCCCCAAGACGCCAGCTATTCACTGTACGACATCTGGTATGTTATGTAGGCGGTTGGGGGGTCTGTCTCCGGCACTGTTAGGAACAGCTGTCAGTTGTATTTGCTATTGACTTGTTGCTATTGACAGTTAGTGTTAACGAGAAGTGGATGCTGCAGCTGGAGCGTAGCTATGAATGCCTTTGACTGGAATAGCACTGGGATGTTTCCATTTTAGACAAGAACTGATTTCAAGCATGAGACTTGAAGGCAAACGAAATATATTTTTAGATTCATTAAACTAAGGTATTTATTTTTTTGTAAATATTTCGTAGGAGCCCTGGTCGCACTTACGGCGGACACGTCAACATCACGGAAATTGGCAGCTTCACGTTGACAGACGGACTGCAGCTGCACAGCTGGTTTCGCACCACATCGACGCTGCTGCGTCGTCTCAACATGCAGCATGCCCAAGTGCGTTGCATGGTTGTGGTAGGTGTTTGTGGGAGGGCGAGGGGAAAGGGCTGAAGTAACACTTGAAAGCGTTGTCGTTGCGACAGGTGACCAACAAAAACATGACGGGCACGCTGCTCTACTATCTAACGCACACGGTGTCGGGCCATATCGATACAATGAATCGCTTCAATTTCAATCTGCTGATGGCCGTCCGGGACATGTTCAACTGGACGTTTGTGCTGTCGCGCACCTCCACCTGGGGCTATCTGAAGAATGGCCGTTTCGATGGCATGATTGGGGCGCTCATACGCAACGAGACGGACATTGGCGGTGCGCCCATCTTCTATTGGCTGGAGCGTCACAAGTGGATCGATGCAGCTGGCCGCAGCTGGTCGAGTCGGCCGTGCTTCATTTTTCGCCATCCGCGCAACACACAAAAGGATCGCATCGTATTCCTGCAGCCATTCAGCAACGATGTTTGGCTATTGATCTTGGTGTGTGGTGTTGTCACTGTGTGCATACTCTGGCTACTGACGACGATTGAGTGGAAGCTGGTGCCGCGGCAGGGTGCAGCGCTCATCAAGCCGAAGGGCGGCGCTCCACGGCATCACTATCATCACCATCATCATACTCAGCAGCAGCAGGAGCAGCAGCAGCAGGAGATGGCTACTTTGGAGAATGATGATGTCTCAGTCGCCTCGTTGCATTTGCTGCCAGTGGTCGGTGGGCTGCGACAGCGCTGCTATGCGAGATTCTGCAACTACATCAGCAAGCGGCAGGCGTTGAGCAAGAGCTCAACACGCGAGGGTCTCCTGCTGGAGTCCGTGCTGTTCTTTGTGGGCATAATTTGCCAGCAGGGCTTGGGCTTCTCCACCAGCTTCACCTCGGGCCGCACCATTGTCATCACCTGTCTGCTCTTCTCTTTCTGCATCTATCAGTTCTACTCGGCCAGCATTGTGGGCACGCTGCTCATGGAGAAGCCAAAGACTATCAAGACCCTGAGCGACTTGGTGCACAGCTCGCTGCAAGTTGGTGTCGAGGATATTGTATACAATCGCGATTACTTCTTGGTAGGCATTGGGCACAACTAGAGCAATACTTGATACTTGTTTGCAAATACTTTACAGAACACTAAAGACCCCGTTTCCATGGAGCTGTATGCCAAGAAAATTACCAAGGTGCCATCCAGCAATGAGAACGCAGGGGGCGCAGGCGGCGAGGAGGAGCCAGCGCCGCCGCCACCTGGGACTGATGCCAAATCATTTCGCGACATTGTGCACAGTCATGAGGTTGGCGCACATGCCAAGGAGAACACAGCGACTAATTGGCTAGATCCGGATACGGGCTTACGCCGAGTCAAGCACGAACGTAAGCTGAGCCACATGTGCCAGAGATAGAATGCAAATAATTTCTTATCCCATAGGCTTTGCCTTTCACGTGGATGTTGCGGCTGCCTATAAAATTATTGCCGAAACATTTGACGAGCGTGAGATTTGTGATCTGACAGAGGTCAGCATGTTTGCCCCACAGAAAACAGTCAGCATAACCCAAAAGAATTCGCCCATGCGCAAGGTTATATCGTACGGGTAAGTGAACATGCTGAAATCTTGGCGAAATATTTTAAAATTCGATTTCACTTTGGCCAGCCTGAGACGTGTTACAGAGACGGGCATCTTTTCCTATCAGTTCAATATCTGGCACTCGAGGAAGCCGCCCTGTGTGAAGAAAATTGAGACATCCGATTTGCACGTGGGTCGCCAACAAAGTTGGAATTAGTATAATTCTCAAGGTATCTCAATTTTCAGGTGGATATGGATACCATAAGCTCGGCGCTGATAATACTGCTCTTCAGCTATGGCATTGCTCTGTTGGTGCTGGGCATTGAGATACTTTATGCGAAGTGGAAACGTTGAGAGTGAAGCGAAATGCAATCAGACGAATATCAACTTTAACTCATGCAGTATATATGTATATATGTATGTGCGTATGTGTGTATGCTTAGTATATGTTTTGTTCACACCTTGGTTTCGTTTTCGCGTTTTCATTTAATTAGCTACAGCCAAAGTTGAGTTGATTTTAGATTCTGCGTAAATATACGTATTTGTCAAGCAGCGAAAGTTTAATTAAGTGAACTTTCCAATAGAAAATACCTGAAATACCCCCAAAGTGAGTTTACATAATTAAATTTTGGTAGTCAGTGTCGCTGTTTGACATTCAAGACGGCGTCAAGGCTCTTGTGCTAATCCAATTACCATTGTTTAATTGATTCCATTTCATTTGCGTGGCTTGAGTTGGATTAGCAATCATTGCGTATACGACGTGTGACCCTGAGCTGGAATTTAATTAAGTTGGCCTTTGCTCAACGACGCAGACTCTAAAATCTAATAAGAACTATGCTACTAAAATATTGAATTTACTTATGTAGTTCACAGGCTGACAACTTCATTGCCAGAAAGAAAGAAAAAGATTATAAAAAAAAAGGAGAAAAGGCAAACATATTCAACAAATAATGCAACAAGAGGGTAAAAGAGTTTTCTTTCTTTTGCGCTAGTTTTTCGCTATGTGCGCCGGGAGGCAAGCGAGCTGGCTCTGGTCGGCCGAGTGAGTCAATTTAAACCACAAACGAAGTACAAAATATCCATTAAGATAACAAGTTTTCAGTAGTTGTAACATTTTCCCATGCCAAGCAGCCAGGCAGCAGCCAGTCGACCCCCTTGCAGACATTTTTCTGCCTTTTTAGTGCCTTTTAGCTAGAACAGGGCGGTTGCTGTTCCTACTCCTGCCCCTACTCCTGCTGCTCCTGCTGCTGCTGCTGCGGCTGCTTTCTGTCAGCGCAAAAAGTTCTGGGGCCCAGACCAACGTCTTGTGCGCCTTGGCGCGTTGCCAAAGTGACGCTCTTAGGCATTTTTAAATTTGAAAGGAATTCTATTTCGCAGTCTGCGTGTAGCAAGCTCAAAGTTCCAGTTCCTTTTCCAAAGTGCTAACAGTAATAGAAAACCTCAAGAATGTCCTTGTTAAAACATTAACGTTGGCCAAAGCCTAGCAAATCAATTACAAATCGCCTTTGTTTTGCTCGTGGCTATCACTATGTGAGTATGTGTGTATGTGTGTGTGTGTGCGGCTCGTGTCCAGTTCCGTACAAGAAACGTGCATCAAATGCAGCCGCTGTTGCCATGTTATTTAATGTCCTTGCTCATTAGCGAGCCGTGGAATACATCGATGGCATCCGGAAAAAGTTGGCTATCGGCAAAGACACAACATGGCTGGCTGAGTGTGTTTGTAGATTCGCGCGTGTTTGCCACTAAAAAGCTAGAAAAAAATAAGCTCGAGTGTTTAGGGCAGCGCTGCTTGACTAGCTGATACTCTGTGTCTCATTATCATTTTCTTTTCTCTTCAAAGTCTGCTAATTGTGCTTCTCTTTGCTGTCTGGCTGTCAGCAAATGAGGTGCCTTTCATGAGCATCTTCACTAATAGACCGATGATAGTAGCCTTCTTTATGTTCGTATTATGAGATTGGAGTGGCATGATCAAGCTGTTCGGATGGACTTGCCGCTATCTCCTTGCAATATGGATCTCTTACAATAGCAATTTGATGTGAAAGCTGACCCGCTTATATTACAGCGTTCGTTGTACAGCACTAGACTATTTTATTTTATTTTATATAATTTTTCCTTCATTTAATTATTTATTTAATTTTTTTGGGTTTTTTATCATGTTGAAAATTGTTTTATTTATGTAAATTTATGAGAAATTATAAATTAAATATTTAAAAAAATTATTGTTAGTTGATATATTTATTAACATTTGCAGTATTATTCGGCTATAAAAAAAGAAAAACATTCTTATTGGTATTTCGGTTTTCCCTACGTCTTTGTCATCCTGTTGCATACATTTTAAGAGAAAAAATCTAATCTGTTCACCCCAATTTCAATTTGCCCTGGGAATAATAAGTAAAAGTACTCCAGTTGACAATAAGCTCGACTAGAGGATACCCTGAACGGCCCACTCATACACGTACACATTTCTATTAAAGCTCAGATATCCCGCTTATTCAATTGCATTCGTATAAAAAGTTGTCGGATTTGGCCTTCTGGCTGCAGCCAAACGACTGTTGCGGATTGGTTGGGCATTTTTGTTGTTTGTTCGTTTTCATTTTCATTTTCAACTTTTTTTTGTGGGGCTTAGAGCTGTGTTTGTCTGGTGGAAGTGTCAAGGGTTCGATTGGGGTCTGCAGATTGCATAATCTATACGCCATAAAGATTGCCCTGTGTTGGCACGCGATAGGAAACTGGTTGCTGGCGCAGCGACAATTAAATTGTTTTGGCTTTGTTTAAGCGCAAATTGTGCAACAAAACTTTTGCGGTTGCCAAGAAAGCTAACAACAATGGCAGGAAGTAGCAGTAAGAAGTTGCAAGCTGCAGCTACTCGGGGGCTGCAGCATAATTAACAAAGCGCTCAGCAGGGCGCATAATTTTATCCGTTGCCAGTTCACAGTTTGCAATATTATGCAGCTACGCAGCGGTCTGGCCAAATGCGAAAGTTTCGCCAAAGCCAAAGCCAAAGTAAAGTAGTTGCCTTAACGCCCCTGGAGCTAACCGACTGAGACCGTCAAGATCGGAGCGCAGCTTGGGGACAGCGGCAACGGCAACTGGAGGAGCCAGAGCATTATGGGGGCCAGTGGCTGGGCCAGTGCATATGCTTGGGGCTTGTGTCAAAGTGTGAAAAAGTTTCGAGCGTCTTAATTAAATTTTATACAGAGCTGCGAATTATGCGCCAAATTTTGTTGAGGGTGATGGCAACTTTTTAAAAGTGACAGCTGCACATGAGAAAAGCCAAAGCGTAAAAGCCAGGTGTAGCGGGAGGGGGCGAAGGGCTGGCTGGCTGGCTGGCTGGTACTACAATTTCATTTGAGCCAACTAATTACTGAAAACTTGCTGCTGCTTATAAAGTATTTCCCTTTTCTGGCATTTTTTTGTTTTTTGTTCTTCTTTGTATTAAATTGAATTTGTGCTGAACAGACAATTCATTTAAAATCAATTTGAATAACTTTCCGCTGCAACAGAAAGTAAATGACTTTTTAATTAAATTAAAAATAATTACGAATGTAACAGAACATTAAAATATGTATATAAATATATTAATGAAACTCACTGACAATTAAATCAATTGATTTTTTTTGCAGAGAAAAGACAAAGATTTTGCAGCTGGCAGCTGGAGAACAATCTTATATACTCTAACAATATACCCTTTTAGCTTATCTCTAGAAATTTTCGCTCGTGTCTATTTACTGTGCTATTCAGAATACTTCTTGCTGATAAATCTGCCTGAAATAGTTTCCTGCCTTCATTACGATGCGAAGCAGGCGTCAAGATTCCACAGGAATTGCTGGCATAGATTTATATGAGCATAAAATGCTATAATAATTTCCCGAAGGCTTTAAAGGACACACGTGAGTGTGTGTGAGTGTGTGTGCGTGTGTGTGTCTGTTTGTTAGCTGGTGTGCAATTTCCGTTTAAGTGAATAATCGCAATAATCTCATGCTGTGCTCCGACCATATGAATGCCAGCTCTGGCTGTGCCTGGACACACATCTTGGCCCTTAATGAGGCTACCAAAACAATTATGTGTCCTGCTCAACTTTCTGCTGCTCGCTGTGTGACATTATTAATATTTAGGTCTGCTATTTAAGTCAGACACAAATACACACACACACACACAAACACATACACACATGCACACAATGTAATAAATAATTCATACTGTGGGCTCAATTATGTATAATTGAGCGTTTGTAATAGTTTAAGCACATTTTAGTCCTTGTATAAGTAAGTATGTATATGCATATATGTATGTATATGTATCTATTTTTTGTTCTCTCTTTTTGCACATTCGTTTTTGTCACTTAACCACCATTTGCACTTTTCCTAAATGCAATAATTTATTTTAGTATATTTTTTGTCGCGCGCGCATAACTATAATTTATTATTATTATTTTTGCTCTGTGGCTGCCTTTTGGGCATTGTGCCAACTATTCATATTTTTATCAGAGCTCGCAGGTGTGCAAAAAAATTGCACAAAACTATGTAAATGAAATGTACAACTGTTGCCTAATGCACAAATACATTTAGATACATTGATATTTTTTCTACGATAACTTAACGCAAATACAGAACAGAATTTAAACGGACTCCCTCTGCTATGGGAATTCGCTTATAATGGAGCTCTTTAAATGGCTCTTTTGATGGTATTCTGTGCGTGTATTCGATCAATTTGCGTTTAGTTTGAAGTTGAAAGTTTCACTTTTATCTAGAGCTGCCATGACGGAAGAAAAGTTTACTCACTATTTATTTGAATGCTGCTCGTCTAGCCATTGGCGTCGGAAGTTTCCATGCAGCAGCAGGAGCAGCAGGAGCAGCCGGAAAAAACTAAAGAAAATTGAAAGTTTTTGATTTATAAACGCGAAAGTTTTTGCGCTTCATTCGACAGCGTTAAATATTGGGTATACCCTAGCAGAGAGTATGCTAAACGTAACAAAAGAGTTGCAGCTAAAAGTAATTCTATTAGGGATAAAGTTTATTTTCCTATAAATGACAGGGTATTGAGATAGGTAAATATTTGCTTAAGAGCTCACTCACAAATGCCTTTGTGATGCTAGGGTATTGCTACTTTCCAGACACTCCTTTTCATTTTTGCGACAGTTTGCTTTCCGAGGAGTTTACTGACTTTTGAACTGGCATTGTATAGATGCGCATTGTCCAGATATGAAGCCGAATGGCAAAGTTTTGTCATCTTTGTCGCTTGTGTAGCGGCAATAAGTTGAAATGCTGGCCATTTGTGGAGATCATTTATAAGTAGTAAACATTTTTGAGTTGCGCGTAAGCAATATTAGGATACTCATTCATAGCTGAGCATCC